ACCTTTTTAAAGCTTCGACACTCAAAAAGACATAATCCAACCACACTGTTTTGTTCGTTTATCCTATTTTGTGAGGGCCAAGCAATAGACGATGAGTTATCTGCTGCCTCGACGCCGTGCCGTTCGCAAAGGCAGGAATTATGCATGATCTGCTTTAGTACTTTGGACTGCACAGAGCCTCCAGTCCAGTCGTTTCTTGCCCTGTTTGCACACTGTCTCTATGTAGGTAATTGAGAATGAAGCCAATGCTGGACAACCGGGCGCTTCATTGTTTCGATAGGTACAACAGCAAAACGTCGGCTTCCCCAAAGAAGTCCCTTGTCTAAGCCCTTTACGACGACCATTGTGGCACCGAGATATGCGACAGTCTTCTTGCCGAAGTGGAGAGGTTTCATGTTTTGCAGGGTTGATAAGTATCCATGATAGAAATAGAAATCATGTTTCCTTCCTTGCAATCTCTCCAATGCCTTGCGAATTTTTAGATGTAAAAGTCATGCGCCGTAAACGGACAGTCATTCTCCACGTTGCTTTATTGTTTGTGTCCACGCAGCTCGAACATGATATAGTGTACGACATGCATCGTCCGACATAGAATATCCAGACTGTGGTTGACGGCCCTACAAGCACTCTCTTCTCACGCGTTTCTGCCCCCTCGTACGCGCTGAGGAGCCCCGGTCAAAGTTTTCACCTCCCTGGTGTGCTCCATAGTTGTACATGAACCCAGGTCTCAGGAATGATCAGGGTGACGCTGTGCGTGGGACAGTTTCGTCCTGGGTTCTGGTCCGAGCTCTGGTCTGACCTCTCTTGTCGGAGGAGGGACGTCTCAGGAAACAGAAGACGACTGAGGCACTGAGGCTGAGAACATGTGACCGATCATGCTTTTCCTTCTTCTCTCCTTATTCTGTGGTATTCTCTCCTGTTCTTCAAGAAACTGGCATGTAGCACCACTTTTTCGTCCACTTTTTCTTGGCCTTGTTATTTGATCGACGGCCGCCGCTCACACGCGGTCAATTGAGCGGTGAAGGACAAGCTAGAAGCTTGGAACAAGGGAGGGTGGGCGAGACGCGGCGCTGATTGGCGCCCGGCGTCATTAGCCTGTGCTAAAAAGAAACGACCAGTGCGACCATGCCCAAGTGTCTGGCCAATGGTACGCACGCACTTAACTTTGGGATGCCTCGATGCCTAAGGCTGTGAGGAATTGGGCGGAACGAAAGACGTCACACAGGAGGAAGACAATCCCGAAACTGCAGGACGACGCAAAAGAAATATGACCAAATGGGCGAGAACGAAGGAAGAAGTGGTGCGATGTCCCGTCCTGACGTTGCTTCGTATTTTGTCTCCTAGAAGACAGACACTTTCAAGATAAAATAAACCAAGCAAGCGAGCTAAAATCGTCATAAAAATGACACTATGAAAGCTCCAGCTGGCAACGCAGGTTGCATGCGACCGCGAGCCCTGCCCCATCGTCTTTGCCCACTTGTTGCCCACTCGAGCCAAAAGGGGGTGGTGGCCGTTCCAGAACTCGACTCCTTCGTTTCTTCAGCCTGTCCACTTTTGCTGTTGCTTGTCCCTCATTGTGCGGTCGTTGTTGTCCGTTTAATGCGGACTTTTGGCACTTTGCGCTTTTGCCGTCTGCTGCCAGCCACTCACGACCCTAGCATGGTCTGCGTGATGGAGCTTCATGCACGTCGTGTAGTAGGAGCATGGCCAGGTCCGGATGTAAAGACCAAAAAAAATTCTGCACAAAATCATGGACACAACTGGCAGAGCCGCCCATCTCGGCGCAGGTGCAGAGCTGTGGACAGGAGAAGCTTGCATGAAACCGTGAAGAGAGGGCCAGGGGGAAAGGGACGAAAACGCTACCCCTCTTTGTTCACGCCCGTCTCGAGGGCGACGCACGTCGCGTCGACGTCGACGCATCACGGCGTCATGGAGGGGTACGATTGTGATGGTACGCTAGAGTGAACGACGATGAGAATGAGCACGGGGAAACCTCCCAGGTGTCAACCACCGGTCGTTGCCGTGCGCAGATAACGGGGCGCGAATCGCGGCTCTTGCCAGATAGCGGACCACTTTGATGTCTCTTGCCCGATTTGAACGAAGCTCTGTCCTTGCCCGTTCCTGCCTCGAGAATACCCCCTCAAAGGCTCGGCGACCAGTCCGTTTTTCCTCTCGTCATCTCACGATCCTCAAGCCGTCTGCGGGCCTTCGTCCGTGGTGCCCCTGCCTTTTTTTTTTTTTTGTGTGGATATTTTGCCCAGGCCAGACTGTCTTTCTCGCCTACTGCGCACTCGGCGCCATCTCGAACAATTGTGGGCTAGGCGCACCGTCTATTTTTTTGGCCGCCTGCTGAGGCGGTAACACACGTAATTACAGTGTGAATACGGGAGCTACGAAAACGGCAGGTGACAATTCCAAGCCGCCAACCGACCTGCGAACCCAACGTAGTTGATAGAGATACGCAATAGATTTCATACGTGTGAAGATGGTAAAGTGAGCAGCAAACAAGTAAAACGGAAACATTAGTATTCAAAATCCCCCGGTGGCGGGAAATGATGTCCATCGTAGGCGGCATGGATTGGCCACTATGATTGGCGAAAAAGGCTCCCAAGTTAGCCAAAACGGACGCTTTTGGCGGCAGTCGATCACGGCGGGAATTGAAAACTGCGCTACGAGTTGCACATGTGCGACTTTCCGGTGCTCCGTATTTTCCTGCCTGAACAGCTGGACTAGCTGCGGACATGACTTCGAGCTACTTGCCAATTTCTGTCCTATGTGATATGACATAGCTGGCTCCTGCCCGTTTCTGCCCAGATGGTCGCCGTACGCGATGTGACTGGCTGTTGTCCAGATGACTATGTGGAACGGTGCAGAAGGGGCAGGCAAAAAGGCCCGCGCCGAGTCTACGAAGAAGGCAGGAAGGGACGAGAAGTAAAAAAAAGCAACGAGATAGAACACGAGCAGGAACTCGGTTCAAGGCAGGTGCAACCATCGTGTCTCTCGATGCGCCTGCTTCCGAGTCCACTCTCTAACTGGGGCTGCGTACCTTTCCCACCTGAACAGGATTGAGTCGTATTTTGTGTGTGTGCAACCCAATTACCTGCCCTCTGTTCAATATTTCGTGTAATCGCGGGCCACCTTTGCAGTAGCCCTCTCGTTCGGGAATGGCTTTCGGGTTGTCTTTTTTCTTGATTTGTGCAGGCCATTTTGCTTCGAGAGTTTTATTTTGCTATATGTACTTCTAGTTTCCTGCCTCCGATGGGCCGGAATCCAAAAAAAAAGGTAAAAAAAGAAAAAAAAACGCAGTTTATCCTCGGTCGTCGGCGTTTCCCTTTCTCTTCAATAGCTATCATTATTTCCCGAGTCCCTTTTCGTCCTCTCTACGCTCTTTGTTTCCTCCTCCTTGCATCGTGTCGCGTTCTGTTTCCGATATTCTGGTCTCACAGCGCCAGCGTCCTGCCGATTTCCGCTGCGGGTGCCAGAGGGAAATTAGCAGCAATGATGGAATATCTGTCGCGGCCGCTAAAGCCGCACTTTGCCCCAAGCCCTCTCGCTCGGCTCTTCTCGCTTTTCCTAGTCTGCACCATGCCAGCACACTGGCACGGCTTACGGTGCGCCTGAGCCGCCAAGGCCCCAGTAAAACTAAAACCGCTCCTTGAGAAACAGCACCTCACCATTTCAACGGCAGCGCGAAGCTTGCGAGACAGAGCTAAAAGATAAGAGAATGCAGAAAGCATCTCAGTAAGGCAACAAAATGCTGAAAGGCAACTCACATGGAAAACCCATGTCTACCGTTGCGACGTGCGCCGTACGCCATATTTGACGGAGCGGATGGAGAACAAAGAAAAATACTTTTCCGCTTGAGCAAGCATCATCCGCTGTCGGCACTGGTCTGGCAGATCATTCGAAGCAAGAAATAGGCGATGGAAGGGAAAGAAACCGTCTGAGACCGCCAAAGAAGGCCCATTTATCATCCCTTAGACACAGCTGTCGCGTCTGTTCCATGCCATAGTCGTATGGATTAATCATTGCACTGTTCTAGACTCTAGATGCACAATTGCCACTGGCTACTGCAGTGTCGTACTGCTCACGTACTTTGTTGCATCAATCTTCAATTCTCATTAACTGGCCGCGGCTTTCCGTAAGAGTCAGGGATGCTGACCAGGCTCCAGCACTGCATACAGTGCATATCAGTGCATACAAACAGTGCGTTGCAGAACAGCGTGAGCATTACGCTCACTGGCTCCGCCAGCCCGCCCACATACATGTGCAAAATTTGCACAGTTTACAGCGGCACTTTCCGTACTGTGAAACTTATCTCGCTTTCTTACTCGCCCATTCACGCTCGCCGTTGCTTCCTCGCCCGTTTTGCACTTTCGCTTGGAAACGCTGCCCAACCGGAAATCTCATTTCGCTGCGTGTGGGCTCCATTTTTGTCGGTCGCTCCTGCCCTCTTCTACCTTATGCAAGCATCCCCCTTTCCCTATCAAACCGCCCCTCTCACGCACCTTCCCTCCTCCGAGCCAGCCAAGGACGTTCCTGCCACCACTTTGTTCGACGTTTCCTTGCTCCGTTCTTGCATTTTCCCCTGGCCGACGCTGTTTCGCCCTCGTCTCCTCGTCTCCTTGTTTGTTGCGATCTCTCTGCCTCCCCTTCGCATCCGACACGCAACGACCCCGTACGCATCGCCAGCACGCCATCTAGCGTCTCTCTCCGCCCTCTCCTCATTCTCATTCTCTCGCCTCTCTCGACGCTGCCGAACAACTCCTTCCTCCCTCTCAAGGCAACTACCTACCGGAGGTGCCTGCAGCAGCCAGCAGCCCTCACGAAAACGCTTCACGGTCTGCACAACCTCCCCCCAACACGCAGCTTCATTTTTGACGCTGCGTGTTATCGACCGACCAACCTTCGCCCTGTTGTCACCTCCGCCTCGCTCCCCCCCTCACCTTCAGGCTACAAACCCCCCCCGTCACGATCGCGTGTAGCCTTTGCGGTTGGCCATGTCCAGCAAAGCGATCAGCGCTCAGGCGCTTGGGGGGGAAGCCGACACCATCGCCGTCGCGAACTCCCTCCAACCGCTTGATGCCAACGTCCTTGCCTCCTCGACTGCGGCTGCCGCTCCGGCCTCCACTACGACGACGATGGTGCCGACTACCACTCCTTCTCACGCCTCCGCCGGTGGTGAAAATGTCCAGCCCGACCCGCAAGCTCCCACTCCGGCTTCCGACTCTTCCCTCCATCCTCCTCCTGCTCCCTCCACCGGTCCTGACCGCGCGACTACCGGCCTTCATTCGCCGCCCGACAGCAACAATGCGTCGAAACTCGACGGCAGCAGCTCAGACTCGGAACTCAGTGATCTTGACGATGATGCTCTGGCCGAGAACTTGAATGGCATCCAACCCGAGGACGTCGATGCTACCGTGACCTCCGTCACGACCCCGACAGCTGCTGCGGCTGATACTGTCTATGCCGCGTCCGCCGCTGCCTCCGAGACTGTCCCGACTGCCGCAACTGCCCCGGCTGCCCCGGCTCCGTGCTCTTCGACGACGCCTGCGTCCGACAATAAACCCACCGCGACCGATGCGCCTGCCCCCGAGGAAGAGGACGATATCGGCGAGGTCGAACCCGACCACTACTCTGGAACCGTCCCCGTGTTTCGGCCGACCATGCACCAGTTCCGTGATTTCAAGAAATTTGTGCGCTCTCATCCCTCCCCACTGCTTTCTGGCTTATCTTCGCATACATGCTTGCCTTCCCTTATCTTGCCCTGCCCTTTCACATGCCCTACCACCCACTGGCCTCATATGTATCAGTGGCCTAGGGGCCCTGATACGTTTCGCCTTAACCCTGATTGTTTCCCTTCTTTCTCCTATGACGTCGCCTGTGATTGCTTTGGAATTCGATCGTGGATAAAGAGTCTAACCGTGCTGCGTCTTGCTTTGTGCTCCCCTCCTCCCTTTTGTATAGATGGGCAAAATCGACAAGTATGGTATGAAGTCAGGCATCGTCAAGATTATCCCGCCCCAAGAATGGAAGGATGCCCTCGAACCGCTCGACGACCTGGTCAAGCCCATCAAGGTCCGTGAACCGATCAAGCAGGATATCATGGGGTCCAACGGCACCTACCGTCAGGTCAATATCCTCCACCAAAGAACATACAACCTCCCCCAGTGGCGCCAGCTGTGCGACCAGAGCGAGCACCAGCCACCTGCCCGCCGTGGAGAACGCCGTGCCAACGCCGACAAGCCGAAACCCGCGCCTCGTGCTCGTCCAGCCGCTGCTGCGGCTCCCGCCGGAGCTGGTGCGTCGACAAAGAAGGGAGGCACCAAGAAGGGCCGTGGTGGACGCAGGGGTGGCGGTGGCGGTGGCCGTACGCAGCGCCATACGGCCGACGACGACAATGCCTCCACGGTATCTGAGCCGCGGCCTATGACGCCCGAGTCGCAGCGTGGTGACGACGAGAAGATGGTCTTGGACGACGACAAAACCTGCGTGGAGTCGCCCCAGGATGCTACTGGCAAGCACCAACACGACGACCGCGAGGATGCCGACAGCGCTGTTATGTCCTCTGTTGAAGTAGAGTATCCGATTAAGCAGGAAGAAGATGACGATATGACCGACATCCCCGCGGCCCCACGCCGGATGGGGTTCGTGCGTCAAGAAGCGACCAAGAAAACCCAGTCGACTTCGGCTCGCCGCAAGTATAGCAAGCGCGAAGGTTCTGCGAAAATTGACGAAGCCGCCTTCAAGGACTGGGACTACCGCATGGACGTGTCTGACTACACCCCCGAGCGCTGCGAGGAACTGGAACGGAGCTACTGGAAGACGCTGACGTATGCGCCGCCACTGTACGGAGCCGATCTCCCAGGTACCCTCTTCAGTGAAAATACCGAACTCTGGAACCTCAACAAGCTGCCCAATCTGCTGGATGTTTTGGGTACCAAAGTCCCCGGTGTCAATACTGCGTACCTCTACCTGGGCATGTGGAAGGCCACGTTCGCTTGGCACCTGGAAGACGTCGACTTGTACAGCATCAACTACCTGCACTTTGGCGCCCCCAAGCAGTGGTATAGCATCTCTCAAGGCGACGCCCGTCGTTTTGAGGCTGCCATGAAGAACATCTGGCCTGCCGATGCCAAGGCCTGCGACCAATTCCTGCGTCACAAGGCCTTTTTGATCTCACCATCGCACCTCCAGCAGTACTACAACATCCGGGTCAACAAGTGTGTGTCCTACCCGGGCGAGTTTGTCGTCACCTACCCCTACGGCTACCATTCTGGATACAACCTTGGATACAACTGCGCCGAGGCTGTCAATTTCGCCCTGGATTCCTGGCTCCCCATGGGCAAGATTGCCAAGAAGTGCGAGTGTGCCCAAGCACAGGACAGCGTGTGGGTCGATGTCTACGAAATCGAGCGCAAGCTGCGCGGCATCTCCACTGACGACGAGGATGACCTTTCCGACGAGGACGACGAAGAGTACGACTCGGAAGAGGAAGGTGATGGCGACGATGCCAATTCCGTCGCTGGTTTGCCGACCCCACCCTCTGGTGGCCGTGGCCGGCGTGTGAAGTTCCCAGATTCCCGAAAGCGGAAGCGCATCGTGCGTCCTTCCGCTAAACGCCGCAGAGCGCTGGGCGATGCCGACATTGACGATCCCGACGACGATGAGGGCAACCGAAGGCTGAAGAAGATGCGGGTCCGGCTGTGGTCCGGCGACAGTTCCCCTTGCTGCCTGTGCCCCAATGCCTTCCCTGACTCCGAGCTATTGCCTACCGATGACGGTCGTGACGCCCATCGTCTTTGTGCTAGCTATCTCCCCGAAATCCGCATCGAGACGATTGACGGCAAAGACGTTGTCAAGGGCGTTACGGACATCCAGATGCCTCGCATGGAGCTGCGCTGTCTGTACTGTCGCCTTCGCAAGGGTGTCTGCCTCAAATGCTCCCACGCCAAGTGTACGCGGTCGTACCATCCAACCTGTGCCGCTGCCGCTGGTGTATTTATCAACGAAGTTGACGCGTCAACGTCCGGCGACAGCGACACCGAGCATTCACATTCGCACCACTCGTATGAGTTTACTTGCCGGTTTCAGCGCACCAAGCGTAATCGGAAGTTGGACGCGCTGGCCCTCGAAAAGGTTGAGCACATTCGCAATGCAGCTGCCGCTCTTCAACCGGGCTCCATCTGCCAAATGCAGCTCTACCGCAGCGACATTTTTGCCGGCGTTGTTGTCGAAAATCGACCAGACGAGGAGTCACTGCTTCTTCGTATTGTTCCAAGCGGGTATGTTCTTCATGTTTTGGCATTTTGATTTTTTTTTTTTTTTTTCATTTAACACACGCATTCTTTGTATTGTTTACGATTGTGACTGACCATACCCCCCTCCCTGTGCAGTGAGGAAGTCGAGGTGAGCTGGAAATGGCTTCTGGTGCCTGATGCGGTCGATTATCGTAGACTGCACCAGTCGGCCACACACCGCGACTCCACGCCACATAAGGAATCCGAGGGAAGTGCGTCCCTACCTATCATCGGGGACTTGTTTGTCGAAGGGTACATGTGGAAACAGTTCCAAGATTGTGAAGGAACGGCGTTTGTGCCCGCCCCCGAGCAAGTGAAGGTCGACCTCGACAAGCCCAACCAGCTGTGGCACTACCTTGGCAAGCCGTCCACCGAATCCAAGGACCAGTACACGGGTGACCCTGCGAATCCCGTGAACGACCGCAAAAGTCACTTTCTCGACTCCTTGCCACGAGTTTATAATTCAGTCATCCCTACCCCCGCCGTACCGCAGGCTCCCTTTGTTTTCACGGTGCCGACTGCGCCGTCATCGATACCGAACACCCACATTCAACCAGCATCGGGCCAAACTGCTGGCCAGTCTGGCATTCAACCCTCGACAGGAGAACCTCGCCGGTCATACAGTGTCATTAAGCCGCCCTACGTCCCGCACACCTCACCGGTCGTCTTGGCATCTCCGGCGCCTCCATCTGCATCCCCTTCTTCTGCCGCGGCGACTGCCACCTCTATTTGTTCCGCCTCCTCCACTACTCCGGCGACCGTGGCAGCAGCTCCTGCTTCTACATCTGCTCCTACTACAGTAACACCTGTTCCTGCGACACCCGTGTCTGCAGCTCCCATAGCTGCAGCTTCAGCTTCCGTCCCTCCTACACTCGCGTCTACATCGGCACCCGCCCCCACTGCCTTTTCCGCCCCTACGTCGGCCTCGGTGTCGCCCCTTACTCCCCTTGACGGAGGCGCGAATAAGATCCGCAAAACCTCTGACGGCTTTGTTCATCCTCAGCAGCCAGCGTCAAGGACGCACCAGCCCGGCCACCGGAACCGTCATCGCTCCGCCTCGGCGAGCCAGAAAGTGCCTTTTGGACCCTTCTTCTCTATGCCCAAGCCGGGTGGCGCCAGCAGCAAGTTTCCTCAGATTCAACATCCGAACTTGTCCCATGGATATGCGACTGTTTCCACAGGCAAACCACAGACGGCTGGTGGTGCAATGTCCCCCCCTTCTGGTAGCACGGCCACCGGAGGCGAGAAGAGTACTGATTCCAGCAACAGCAGCAGTCGACGGAACAGTGTCATTCACGGTCCAAACAGGGTTAGGAAGAGTAGTTCAGGTGCAGCCTCTCTTGCGGCAGCTGCTGCAAAGCTTCACAAGCGCAGTGCCAGTAGCATGAGTAGTGTCAGCAGCTTTGGCCTTGGTTTGGGTGGGGGGCTGCGAGGATTGAGCCGCCCGTCACCACATACAAATTATGTCGGCCCGCCGCCAGTGCCCTCGTCGACGGCTTCATCCCCGCTCTTGTCGGCGCACAATCTGAGTTACAACACCCGCCCCGGCTCCGTATCCTCCTACGCCTCGTATGAGTCGATAATGGGCCCCGGAATGTCACCTCACTCGCCCAACGGCATGGATGCGAGCCCATTTATTGGCAGTCCCGGTCCACAGATAGGCTCTTTCGATTTCCCGACTCCCTCGGGCTCTACAAACGGCTACCAGCACCCCGGCCTGCGGCCCCAGTTTGGCGCCGCGTGGCAGCAGAGCTTCCACGCGCCTCTGGGCTCATTTGCACAAGACATGGATATCAACTTCTCGCCGCCATCGCCCATGTCTACTTCCCTGGGTCTACCAGCAGGCGGTCTCGGCGCCCCAGCCAACATTGTCTCTAACCATCAACCGTCTTACTCCTTTGGTGGTCCAGGCAACCTCGGCCCCGACTCGATGCTCCTCGGCGGCAGCGGCGGCGATTTTGGCGGCTTCGGTACGATAAGTCCTCCTTTGGTGCCGGAATCGCCCATGGCTATGATGAGCCCGACACTGGAGGATGTCACACCCCCAGATGCAGGCACCTCCCAGTCACCGGCCGAGCAGCTGAAGCAACAGCTACGGAGCATCTCGGATTCGTCCCTACCGTCGTCTTACCGGCTGCGTTGCCTTCACCAACCCCGACGCCGCCACCAAAGCCGCAGTAGCTTGAATCGTATCTTTACAAGTCAGCTGTTGGACCTGAGTTCGAACCCGACATGACCGGCCGCACTTGCAACATTGAGCTCAATCAACTCTATGGGACCTACAATCGTCTTCATCCGAAAAGTCGTCCGAACGATTTAAGTGACGCGCCCAGGGAATAATTTACAAATATCGCTTCAAGCATCCCTCGATTTCAGATCTCAACACCGCTTTTCTGGCGATAGCATGTTCTCCGATTTTTGGCACGTATTGGATGAGTCTAAGCTGCTGCGGCAGATGTTGTACTTTTCTAATTGTTGCGTGGAGCAGCATTGGAGAAGGAGCCAAGAAAACCTCACATAACTACGCGCTATTTCTTGGAACACACTCGATAGCTGACGACATTTGATTTGCGTCAATATTTTCTTCTTCGCCCCGGTGGCTACGATTTTATGCCGACGCCGTATATGAGACAAGCACGAAAGAAAACTAGACTGGTGTTGAACTGTTTGTTGGCGCAATGATTTGGAGCCCATCGTCTTGGTGTCACTTGGCTTTGCCTCCTTTTTGGAATGCCGCGGCGTTATCGATTTTTTTTGTTTCGTCATTTCGCTATTATGCATTCATTTATCTCACCCTACTCCAAGCGGCAATTGTGGTGCATCGTTTTGTCCCATTTCATTCTCACAATGCTTTGGAGTGCGTACTGCACCATTGGTACCGATTAAAGAGCAGTGTGTTTTTGTTCATTTCTACGCACATCGAGCAAGAAGGCTCTCACCGTGACGACTCGACAAAACGACAAGGTGGAAGCCCCGAAACAAGAATACGAATGACTTGGGACTGCGCCTCAAAACTTTAACATCGACATGGCAGAGGCCACTGAGAACTGCGCAACATGCCCGGCCTTCTTATATTTTCGTTTTCCACCTTTTCTGTTCGGCATCGCTTTTATGCATTCGTTTTTCATCATGCCCCAACCAACAACCACACAGCCGCTTCCTTCAACATAAGGCGGTATTAGATAGATGTTAGGATAGATAAAAATAAGGAACGACCAGCCACGTTGAAAGAGGAGGACATATATCAGCTCTCTCAAGACGTGAGTGAGGCTACGGGACTGGCCCGAAAGAAAGAAACAGGGAAACGGCGGGAATCAACCCTCAGGGGGAAAACAGGCCCCGATCACGCTGGTTACAAAGGTACCAAAAAATAAAAAAACCAAAGCAAATAAAACCAAACAATTCTAAGCAATTTATTGTCGGGAGAAAGTGTGTAGATAAGTGAATATGGAGGCTAATAAGGAACGAGTAGAACTGTGCCATAAGATCCTTTACATGTAGTCAATTGGATTGATAGGCGACAGAGTATTATCTCGTATGCCCAGGTCCTTTCTTGTTTTGTAAGATGAAGCCGTCGCAAAAATAATAACATTAACAACACATATGAACTCCACTGTAACAATAGAGACCTGTAATCGTGGTTTCCAATTGTCAAAAGATCCTTCCTGACGCAAATCTCAGCCTCATTATCATCATTTCGTCGTCGTCCGCAGGCCCAGCAGCCCGCTGGCGTGCACGACCGCTCTAGGAAGTGTAGCCGTGAGCCACTAGCCAGTTCTTCAGCTCCTCCGAGTCGCGTGTGCGGTAGGCTGCACGGCCGCGAATTGTGTCCTTGACCGTCTCCAGGGTGCGATCAAATGCCTTGGTGTTCTTGTCGGCAAAGAACGTGTCAATCTCCTGCAGCGAGGATGTATCAGAGAACTGCGACAGCGCCACCTTGACAAAGCGGTCCAGCAGGATTGGATTGCCTGCCAGCTTGCGCTCCACGGTTCCGGCCCACTCCTTCTGGATGTACTTCCACAGCAGGGGGCGCGCATGGGTGCGGGCGGCCATGCCGTTGGCCAGGATGTGTACATCAGCACCGACGACCGTATCGGCACCGTCGCCAAACAGGAATGGCAAGAGCTTGTCCTGGACCACCTTTTCGTCGTCCGAAGCGCCCAGGGCCAACAGAGCCACCTCCTTGCCGTCCGGTGCGACGGTGGTCTTCCACTCCTTGAGAAGGAGCGGGGCGGCCTTTTCCGCGCTGTCAATTATGGCAGCCAGGAAGACGGGTGTGCGAAGGTCACCCTGAAGAGGGTTCTTCACGGGGTCGGCAATGTATGCTTGGAAGAGCTCAATAGCCTGCTTGTTGAGCCTGTAGTTGTGTTAGCTGGTTTGTCGTATTGTAACTGGCGTGCCTTAAACCACCCTCCCCCCTCCAAAAGAAAAGATAAAAAAAAACAAGAAAAAACATACGACGGATGTTCGCTGCGAACGGCGGAGGTAAGGAGGCGCTTGCGAAGCTGTGCCTTTGTGAACTCTTCGTTCTCGGGGAAGTTGAGGCTGAACTCAGCCAGCGGCTTATCAATGAGCTTGAGAGTAAATGCTTTCAAGCCCTTGTTGATCGTCTCATCGTCACCAAAAACGCTGCTTATGACACCAATGGCATCAAGTGCTTGGGACAGAACACGGACGTGCGACTCGTTGCCAAAACCTTCGAGGAACGAAAGCAGCGCGGGGGTTTTCGCGTAGCCAGCAAACGCAAGTTCGGCAGCAGAGCCGGCAATCAGAATCTTGTCAGACGCACTAAGTCGGTCAAGTTGCGACCCAAGCTTGGCCAGGCGCTCAGGAGGATAGTTGACACGGTAGAACCCGGTCGAGTCTGTGTTCAGCTTGTAGAAGTCTTTGCTGATATTGGAAATGACATCCTCCTTCTTTGTCAGGGCCAGAGACTCGACAGAGCCCTCAGCCGAGCCAACACGGCCAGTCAGACCCAGTGGGATCCACCATGTGGTTCCGTCATCTTCTGGCATCACGTCGCCCGTGGACAGGAAACGGGACTGCTTGATGGCCAGTTGACCGTCAGCTCCCTCGGTGACGGCGACAACTGGGAAGCCAATCTTCTCAATCCAAGAGCTCATAAGCGTGTTAACATCGTCTCCAGACGCTTCACTTAGGGCATCCCAAAGCGCGGTAGTCTTGGCGTTGCCGTACTTGTGTTTCTTGAGGTAAGCGGACACGCCCTGCAAAAAAACATCGGTGCCCAGGTGGTTTGCCAACATGCGAATCACGGAGCAGCCCTTGAGGTAGCTAATGGCATCAAAGACCTGGTTGACGTCGAGCGCGTCACGTACGGGCACCTGGATTGGGTGCGAGGCGCGCAGCGAGTCGAGCTTGAGGGCCCGCTCCATGCCCTCGTTGACGAACTGGGCCCAGACGTCCCAGTCCGGATGCAGGGCGTCAGTGGCCAGCCAACCGGCCCAGGTGGCAAACCCTTCATTGAGCCACAGCTCGTCCCACCAGTCCATGGTCACAAGGTTACCAAACCACTGGTGGGCCAATTCGTGTGCCACGACATAAGCGATGCGGTTGCGGAAGCGGCCTTCGGAGAGCTGCTCATCAAAAAGGATGGCAGTCGTACGGTACGTCACCAGACCCCAGTTCTCCATGGCACCGTGTGTGAACTCGTGAGCTGCCAAAATGTCAGACTTGGGCAGCGGGTAGTCGATGCCGAAGCGCTCGCTGAAGAAGTCAATGTACTTGGGCGCGTGCTCCAGCGCCCAGCGGCCCTGCTCCTTGAGGCCGCGGGTGGTGTATACGCGCACAGGGATTTGTTTGCCGTCATAGCGGCGGTCCGTGAGCGCCTCAATGTATTCGAAGTCGCCGACAGCCCAGGCGAGCAGGTAGGTGCTCATGATCGGGGTGCGCTCGAACCGGACAATTTTCTTGCCAGCTGGGGTGGAAGCAGTAGCAGCAGACGTGCCCTCATCCTTGATGGGCATATTGCTGAGTGCCACGAGATCGTCAGGGATCTCAATGGCAAAGTCAAAGGTGGCTTTGAGGTTGGGCTCGTCGAAGCACGGGAAGGCACGGCGAGCGTCGCACGACTCAAACTGCGTGCTGAGCATGTAGTGGAAGTCATTGTCGCGGGGTGTCGAGGCAGCAGCTTGCGGGGCATCGGCGGGCGGCGTGTACTGAGAGCGGTAGAACCCAGCCAGGTCGTGATTCAGTTTTCCAGTGAAGGCAATGTAGAGGCTGGCCTTGGCCGATGGCGGGAAGGCCTCGGCACCGGGCTGCACAAATGTGAGGGTGGCCCGCTGGGACTTGGCATTATAGGCAATCCCGACGGCCTTTTCAGAGCGCGTGCCCTTGGTTGCCTGAGCCTCAAGGGTGGCCGATGCGATGTCGAGCTCAAGGGTGTTGAGAACGACCTCGGAGGTCAGCTCGGTCAAAGCACCATTGATGGTGACGGTGCCCTTGAATGTCCATTCGGTAAAGTCAAGGTCGGTGATCGTCAGGTCATAGTGGCTAGGCTTGAAGTTGCCAGGTAGGATGTCGCGATCGGAAGCCATGTTGGTATGGGATGCCGAGGCGAACGACGAACAGCGGCGAACTGACGAGAAAGCAAGGAAAGAAACGCAAGAAGCGAGCTTGCTTGAAGGAGAAGAACGCCACCTTGCCGCCGAAGTGAAGAGCTTAGTGGAATGGCGGTTCGGCTGGGCAGAAGGCCGTGCTGTCTGAGGTGTCGGGGAGGAGGGCGAGTTTGATGTGGTGGAAGAAAAACAAGCAGGGGAGGAATGTGAGAAAAGATGATGGAAAGGAGACAAAGAAGCAGAGCTGGAGCTAAAATCAGAAGAAGAAATCTGAACAGGAAGGCAAGTCTGAGCAGGAGGTCGTGTGGTACGCGGCCGCTTTCTGTTGAAAAGGGAAGTGACGAAAGACTCGGTCGAGCTTGCTGAGTAGCTCGTCGTTGAGTAGCTCCTGCCGCACACAATTGCTGCTGCTGCTTGAAGAAGGCGCGGCCCACTATTGGTTAGTCGCGGCTGCCGTGGCGATTGACTGTGGAACGGTTTCAGGCTCATTCTCAGGCTGTTGTCGATAAGCTCAAGCAGCTGTGGGGAGCTAGCGAAGCCCAATGCTTTGACCCCGCTCTGAGCCGTTCCTGATCCAAGAGCGAGGGTTTCCCGGCCACAGTCGGTCGTGAACGCACAAGCAAAGTAGGCAAATCTCTCTGTCGCAGGTGAAATGATGCGGTTATCGGGCAGTTGGTGGAGTTTGGTGTGGCTGTGATGGTTGCAGTTTGGGGCTAGTTGGTGTGACCCGAACATGACTCTGTTGGAGGCAGGAACGGCTGGCCGCGTGCCACCGCATACCCTACGGCTGTTGTTTCTGACCGTCGTCCATGGCTCTTTCCTTAGTTGATGGTGGTAGTGATTGTGCACTTGTTTGCGCCTTCCCCTTATTCCCCTCTCCAGTCCGCGCCGAAACGGTACTGTTGTTATCGCCAGCAAGCGGCACTCTACAGCCATGGCAGGCTCCTTTTGTCGCTTGGCTGCGGGTCTTGAGTATCGTACCCTCCTTCTTTGCCCTTCTCTCGGCGATGCTTTGAGGCGCGGTGTCCGAATGCGGTAGCTGCCGTGGATTGGTGGCACCAACGTGGGAAGTTTTCAGTTGCTCCTTCCTTTTCTGGGGAAGCAAAATGCAGCTGAATGGAAAACGGCGCGGGAAACGAAATGTTCCAAAGGAACAGCAAGAAAGAAAAAACGTGTCCATGGAGTCCATGGAGCACACGAGAGCATTAAGAATCTCACTGACCAAATCGAGTAAGGGCTGTGGAGCAATTGCCGTCCATCTCCTTCTGAGAAAGGCAGTTGCTGACCACTAGTGTGTTTTTCTACTGGGTAAGGCCGGCCCTATTGCGATTCCTCTTGTCATGTAACGTACGACACACTCGGTACTTTTCTTGCGACCTATTGCTTGGATCTGCACTAACAATGTCGATGAACCAGCGCTGTCGAAGTACGGATTACGGAAACTTTCCAGAATGTGAAGATCAGTAGTAAGTATCGACGAACTGCGCTTCCCATTTTATGTCGACTGTCCCACCTCGTCGGCCCAGCGCAGCATGGCATCCGCCATGACGCCGCCCTCAATGCCTGTGGCCAGGTCGATGACACCCTGAACATGTACCTCGTGAGGGCATACGACAACCTGGACAGTCGGCTCACCTGCCTTGGACGTCTCCCCAGCACCCATCATCTCGGCCGTGTGGACAATGTCGTCTCGGTAAATTTCGTCGCCGCCCGCCGTCAGCAGCACGCGGTCAGCGCGCAGACCCTGCCAGAACGCCCTGTCGCCTTCGTCGGGTGCTGCCCAGACTTCGCCCGACACAGGTTTCCACGCCTCGGCAGTGCGCGCCATGCTGGCTCTGCTCAGCATATCTTTGCCCTCGTTCTCGAAGTGGCTGGGCCGTGTGGGCTCGTTGCGTGTACGCGGCGACACGACCAGTGCACCACGGAGTCGCTGGGACGCGTCACCTGGCTGTCCAGGTGGTTGTCCAGGCAATGCGCGGATGCGAAGGTGCGGCTGTTGCATGTGAGCGAGAAGAGCGAGCAGCAGGTTGCCGCCGGCAGACTCGCCCGCAATGGCAATGTCGTGGAAGGCAATGCCGTCGACGGTCACGAGGTGCCGCAGTGCTGCGGCGGCCTGGGCAAGCTGGGCTGGGTAGGTCCTGGCCGGGGCTAGGCTGTACTCGAGGACGGCGAGCTGGCGGACGCCGGCGCGACGGGCAAGAGTATGGCCGGCCGCCGGGTTCGGGAGGGGTGTAATGTAAGCGCCACCATGGAAGTAGAGGAGGGTGGAGGGGGCGCCGCCGTTGCGGCCCGCATCGTCCTCGACAGTGACGACGTGGAGGGTGGCAGGGCCGTAGCCATCGGTGTCGGAGTCGGTCAGCAGCACGGACCGCAGTTGCAGCTGTTTTGCCTTGGCGTAGGCACGAACGGCGTCGCCGGTGGTGTGTCGCTGTAGATATTGTATCTCGCGCAGGCTCAGAATGGTCATGAGCGAGCCGAGGGAGGTAAAAATGTTGCGCTTAAGCGCGGTGCCATCGAGGCGGCCATTCGACCAGGACGTCAAAGTGTGGCGCAGGTACTGGTAGAAGTATGTGCCCACAGCCACAGGAAGTGATACTCCGTAGAGGTGTAGCAGCTCGCCCGTCGAGAGCGTTGGTGGTGTATGGCTGGCCATGTGTCATATGTGAGAGTGCGTCTGAAGACGAATTGAAAACGAGTTGGAATCCCGTTGCTGGCGGACGTAATGGGTCCTGAAGACAAAAAGGGTTGTTGCGACAATAAGAATCACAAGGTCTTGTCAACACTGCTAGTTGTAGCTGTAGCTAGTGAATTAAGGTGGAGACGCTCATGCCTCCACGACATACGTTGTGCACCGCACGGGACTAGGCAGCTATTTTATAGCTATTGCTCTACCCCGGCCGGTGACTTTTCCGCCCGAGGCTCTTTTTCGGAGACTAAACAGACGTTGCTGCGGAAAAACCATCCATTGCTTATTGATGCAGATCAACTTGAAACGATGGCATCTCGAACACAAGACAAGGGAAAGAATATCGCAGAAAGTTAAAAAAAGAAGAGGACAAAAGAAAAGAACAAAAGGCTAATCAGGGCACGAGAACATGATCCAAATGAGCTTAAACCAGCTCCGCCTGTTACGAACCAGGCTTTCATCTAATTTATCTATTCGGATGCCTTCTTCGCGGCTGCCTTTTCAAAGCGCTGGTACCGCTCCTCGCGCCACTTGGGTCCCCAGCGGCGCACAATCAGAACGACGGGACTCACGGCCAGCACGAGCAGGCCCATGAACAGGTAGGTGTAGCCGTAGCCCCAGGCGTCGATTATGTATTGCACGATGGCAGTGCCGATGGCGCTGAGAGCAGCACGCGTCAGGTTGAACGTCGACGAGACACGGCCAGGGTTCATTGGGTAGAGGTCGACGAGCAGCGTCGTCAGAATCGAGATGGGGCCGCTAAGGCCAGCGCCACTGAAGAAGAGGACGATGAGTGGGCCGGCAAGGCTGACGCCTTCGGCGGCGACAACCCAGCCCCAGGCAATGATCATGGCGACGGCCAACAGGGTCCAGGGCCACATGAGGTCGAGGCGGGCGCGCTCAATGGGGAAGCGGCGCATGTCGTCGCCCCGTTTGCGGTCGGGCGAGACGCCGATGCTGCGGGCGACACGCGCGTAGTTCCAGTTGAGCAGGCGGCCAACGGCGACGGCGCCGACGACGGACCCGACGGCAAAGGGAATGTAGCAGAGGCCGACCTGCAGATCGTTGAAGTTGTAGTGGCGACGGATGACGTCTTGGAGGGGCACAAGCATGGCGTAGTTGGCCATGACGAAGAGTGACATGAAGAACATGAGCAGGCCGACATCCTTTTCAAACATGATGCGCACGGCAGCAAAGATGTTGGGCACGGGGATGCGAGAGCCGCCCGACGAGCGGCGCAGCTTGGCAAGAGCGGCCTCCTGCTCGCGGCGGTGCGCGTCGGCGGCTTCGGGGTCTTCCTGCTGCAGGCGACGCAGGTGGCGTACCGTCGTGAGGGACATGTTGATGGCCGGCGGGCGCACAGAGCCATCGCCGACGACCTTGCGTGCCGACTCGGGCACAAAGGGCAGGTAAATAACTACGAAGACGCCAGCGCTGATCGTCAGGAACCAGAACGTCGACCGCCAGCCCAAGAACTGTGTCAAGATTCCGCCCAGGACGGGAGCCAGCGCGGGGGCGAACATGACGCTGGCCTGCACGGCAGTAATGTAGCCGCCCCGTTCGGCGCTGGTCGTGCAGTCGGCCATGACAGCACTGCCAATGGCAACCGTGGCACTGCTTCCTGTGCTTTGCAGCGCCCGCAGAATGAGGAGGGCTGCGTAGTTGTTCTGCAGGGCGAGGCCGATGTTGGCGCCGATGTAAATAGCAAAGGTCAGCATGTAGACAGGGCGGCGGCCGAGCTGGTCGCTGAGGTCGCCAAACACGAGCGGCGCGACGGCCTGCATGACTTGATAGAGAGTGACGCTCAAGTTGATGTCGGCAATCGAGCGGTGGTACGCCTCGGCGATGGGCGTGATCGCCGGCAGGTAAACAAATGATGAGAACGGCGAGAAGAAGGTGGCGAAGACGGTCATCAGGACCAGCAGCATCTTGGTGCCCGACGAGAAGGTCGAGTAGGCCGTGACGGGTACCTCTGGGTGCGCCGATGCCTCTCCATTGGGTGCATCTGCTGGTGCAGCCTCAGACTCGGGATCACCACCGCCTTCGATGACCTTGTCGGTGGATGCATCGAGGATGCCAACACCAGATTGTCTGCGAGCCTGCTCGGGCGAAGATTCGGCAATCTTTTCCGGGTCTGCCTGTTCGTCGATGGCCATGGTCTGCTCGTTGGGTGATATTCGTTGAGGATATAAGAGAGGGTCTGGGAAGGGAAGGGTCTCCTGGTCATCTGCTTCAAGTCGGTAGACGACGCGACGACGGGTGGCCGCTTGGCCTTATATTGGTCTCTGGCACCATGAATCCATTGACGAGTACTACGATCTGAAAGCCGCTGCTTGGCCGAGACTGGCAAAATTCACAGGAATGGTGAAGGCTTTGAGAGGAGGCCAACATACGTCAAAACACCTGGATTCGTTGTGTAGTGTGTGGGTTCGCGCCGTGGTTGTCGTTGGATGCCGGACTTAAACGGCGTTAAATTCACGGTTTTACATGCAAGTTTCGTCGAAGATCCGCCGGGTGGTAACTGCAGTGCTGTGGCCGGCCCGGAAAGCCCCTGTAAATTGCTGGACGCGCCCTAAAATCCCAAACAGGAGGCGACGTCAACACTGCCAAGCCCAAAGCTTGGGCCAAAGCTCAGTATTAGCTTCTGACTATCGGCACCGAAGCGGCCACAGCGGCCACGACGGACCCACAAGGGCGGCCAGAGCCAAATTGGCAGCAGCCTTTGTCGAAGAACGCTGTCGCTGAGTCGTGGATACGCCGTGAGGTCCCAAATGTCTCATTTGCAGTCCCACAATGTAACGCAAAGCTTGTAATCTCCTGACTCAACTCGTTTTAAACGAGCTCATATAACACGTGACATATCACATGCACCGGAATTTTTATTTGCTCCCCCACTATGACCCCTCGGGACTCAGGCGACATTCCGCGTGTTTGCGCCGCTACAGCGGAGAGCGGGGCGGGGAAAAGCACGGGGAAACCTCCAAGCTCCTCTGGCACCTTCCCCAAAAACCACTAACAGGCGCCAATTTGGTGACACCCCAACGCGCCCAACGTGGATGTCCAGACACATCCTGACGATCCAAGGTCAGACGGCGTATGAGGTTCTCAGATGGCCGGCCCACGGCCCACTCAATAATACCATTAGGCGGATTGACTGCCCTAGTCTCCGCTGCGGAGATCGAAGGGGGATGCCGGTGACTCTTGTCGGAGCTGCAGCGGAGCCAGCTTGAGAAGTGGCGCCGGTCGCGGGGTGCATCGTACCTTCCTTCCTAGGGTATAAGAGGGGAGCCTCTCTGCTCAGGGGGTAGCTCTAGTTCCCTTTTATTTCTGTCCTCTCCTCAAACGTCTTTTCAACCGTCCAACTGAAAACCCAATTGACAACGGCAAGCTGTTCTCCGCCAGCGCACCTGTTCGCCCTTCAGCACACACACACACACAGACATACATACACACAATGGCCACCAAACCTGAAGGCCTCCCCGAGATGGAGTACCGGTTCCTCGGCCGGTCTGGGCTTAAGGTGTCGGCGCTGTCGCTCGGCGGCTGGCTGACATACGGCGGCCACATTGACGAGGACGGCACGCTGGCGTGCATGAAGGCAGCGTACGACGCCGGCGTCAACTTCTTCGACTGCGCCGAGCAGTACTCGGAGGGCGACAGCGAGCGCGCCATGGGCAACGCCATCCGCAAGTACGGCTGGAAGCGCAACGACCTCGTCATCTCGACCAAGATCTACTGGGGCGAGGTCTTTGGCGACAACAAGGCCAACAACGTCGGCCTGTCCCGCAAGCACATTATCGAGGGCCTGGACCAGTCGCTCGAGCGGCTGCAGCTGGACTACGTCGATCTCGTCTACGCCCACCGCCCGGACCGCCAGACGCCCATTGAGGAGACGGTGCGCGCCTTCAACCACGTCATCAACCAGGGCAAGGCCTTTTATTGGGGCACCTCGGACTGGAACGCCGACGAGATTGCCCAGGCATGGCGCTACGCCGACAAGCTGGGCCTCATTGGCCCCGTCATGGAGCAGCCCGAGTACAACATGCTGAACCGTGAAAAGGTCGAGCGCGAGTACGCGCACTTGTACCGCGACGTCGGCCTGGGCCTGACCACCTTCTCGCCCCTGCGTCTGGGCATCCTGTCGGGCAAGTACCGCGACGGCATCCCCGAGGGCTCGCGGCTGGCGCAGACGCAGCTTGAGTTCGTGACGGGTCTGTGGAAGCGCGTCGGCAAAGAGCAGTTTGAAGGCATGGCCGCGCAGGTGCGGCAACTGGAGCCGATTGCCGAGTCACTGGGCGTGTCGCAGAGCGTGCTTGCACTGGCGTGGGTGCTGAGCAACAAGAACGTCAGCTCGGCCATCATGGGCGCCAGCAAGCCGGAGCAGGTGTTTGAGAACATCCAGGCCGTAGCCACTTACAAGAAACTGACGCCCGAGATCCTGGCGCAGATCGACACCATTCTCAACAACAAGCCGCCGGCCGTTGTAGAGCGCTTCTAAAGCATGGTGTACGATGGAAATGAATTAAATAAAAAATAGGCTGCAGTGACGGTATGATCTATATTACTGGATTACTGGATACGAAATAAGACACAAAATAAATGGAACATGTTAGGTTATATTGATGGGATTCACGACATGAAAAACGTGCATGCAACCCTGATGAGGATATCCCGGTTGTTGTCTGCGCGTCTGATGACGCAATGACAGTCTGGATTGATCTATGCTGTACGAAAGGAAAGAAGTGAGAACTTTAACGAGCAGCAAATAAAGAAAGAAACGAAAAGAGCCAGAAGTTGACGTATTCGCTTCCGATCCCCCGACATGCAATTATGCGAATTTCCTCACCAACTTTCACTCAATTGTCACCAAAATTTCAAGACTCGTCACAATCGATAAGCCTTGTGTCTGGACCTGCGTCATCGGCCCGCCGACCCCTCGCATTGGACGGCACAGCCAACTGCATAAGGGACTGTACGTTGTACACCTGCACGGACTACTGCACACGCGGTATTTAGCTCTCTGGTCTTTGCTCCGACAAGGAATGAACGGAGCTGTTCTTGGGGCTCTTAACTGCTGCCGCCGCCATCTGCTCTCTCCAGCATTTTTTCCCTCGTCGTTGTCCGCGCCATCTTTCAGGTCGTCAAATTTTCTCGTCCGCTCCTTCGTCTCCATGGCCGCACAACCACCAGAGGTGGCGTCGGCCGCAGAGCCAACGTATGCCGACGCCATCTCGTTGCTCAATTCGACGCAGACAGGGTACAAGGTGCTCGAGGCGCGGCGCAAGGCCGGCATCAAGCTCGACACAACAGACGACCCGATTGCGCAGATGAAGGCATGGCTGGGCTACATTGGGCATGCGCCAAAGGACCTTGACCGGCTCAATGTTGTGCACGTCGCCGGCACCAAGGGCAAGGGCACGACATGCGCATTTACCAACTCGATCCTGGAGCGATACCGTTCCGCATCGGCAACGTCGGCGTCGTCGGCGCCGTCGCTGCACAAGATTGGCCTCTACACATCGCCCCATCTGGTGGCCGTGCGCGAGCGCATCCGCATCAACTCGGAGCCCATCTCAGAGGCGCTGTTTACGCGCTACTTTTTCGAGGTGTGGCGCGCTTTCGAGGCCGGTGCCATGGCCAGCGGTGCCGACCCAGCCATCAAGCCGTCATACTTTCGCTTCCTGACACTGCTATCGTTCCACGTGTTTTTGCGCGAGGGCGTCGACGCCGCCATTTACGAAGTAGGCGTGGGCGGCGAGCTGGACGCGACCAATGTCTTTGTGCAGCCGGCAGCGACGGCCATCACGACGCTGGGCATCGACCACGTGGAGTCGCTGGGTGCGACCATCGACAAGATCGCCTGGCACAAGGCGGGCATCCTGAAAGAAGACTGCCCGGCCTTTACGATCCCGCAGGACCCGCTGGCGATGGCCGTGCTGCAGCAGCGGGCGGCGGAGCGCAAGGTGGCGGCGCCTGGCCTGCGCGTGCTTGAGCCGGAGCTGTACACGAAGCAGCTGGCCAATGTGCGCCTGATGCCAGCCGAGGAGTTCCAACGCAAGAACGCGGCCGTGGCCGTGTCATTAGCGGCAACGGTGCTAGGCCGGATAGGCGTGACAGGCGACGACAACGGGGATGTGGCCGGCGTGCTGACGGGCGGGCCTCTGCCGTCACAGTTTGTCGACGGCCTGGAGCAAGTCGTGTGGCGTGGGCGGTGCGAGACCAAGGTGACGGGCCGGCAGCGGTGGTACCTGGATGGGGCGCACAATCAGCAGAGCCTGGAGGTTGCGTGCCAATGGTTTCATCGGACCATCTCCGGCGAAAAGCCATCCAGAAAAACGATCAATGTCCTCATCTTCAACCAGCAGTCGACACGCGAATCGATAGAGCTTCTGCATGTGGTGCACAAGACGCTGTCCGACGTGACGTTTGGGTATGCCATCTTCTGCACGAACGTCACGTACAAGAACAACTCGTGGAAGGTGGACTTTGTCAACAACAACGTTGACCCAGCGGTACTCAAGAGCCTGTCGTTGCAGCAAGATCTGGCGGGTGAATGGAAGAAAATCAGCCCCATGACGGAAACGGTGACGGCGAAGCCAACAATCGAAGATGCCATCGACTACGTGCGCCAGATCGAGGGCGGCGACGTCGAGTTGCGCGTGCTCATCACGGGCAGCTTCCACTTGATCGGCGGTGCCTTGACGATCCTCGAGGACGGCGAAGACTTTGCCCTGGCTAACATGTCGGTGGCGAAGTAGGTGTTTTGTTGTTGAAGAAGAAGCAAGGGGATGGCAGAAAACGGACTCGCATAATACCCAGGAAGGCAAACTCTCAACAGAACCAAAAGACAAGACTTTATGATAGACATGGAGCTTTGACGAGCACAAGGATAGACTTGCAGGCACGGGGCAGCAGGCCCAACTAACGAGATTCAACTCCAGAAAATGACGAGTTATGATGATAGCTACATTCTCCCTCCACCCTCGTTGCGGTTCACTTTAGAAATCCTCCATCTTGACCACTGAATATGCCACCTCTTCGTACGGATGGGCCCTGTGATGTTAGCAGAAAATAAGGAAAGGAGAGGAAACAGGAAGCAGAGCAAAAACATGCTGCCAGGGTGCACCCACTTCTTTAGAGCCGCCACGGCCGCCCGCGCCACGTCCTCACCAACACACATCGTCTCCACGCGCGCCTCCTCGACATACTCGAGCGCGCCCACCGTGCCAATGTGCGGGTTCGCGCCGCTGCCAGGCCGGAACTGACCGAGACCGCCTTGCGTAATGGTCCAGCAGCACTCTGTATAGTTGCCCTGGCCCGGGTAGGAGCCAGCACCGGCGGCGAAGATGGCCGCTTTGCAGGCCTCGAGGTTGGCCGGTGGCACGACGAACGAGAGCTGGTACTTGATAGGGCTGGGCGAGGACGAGGCCATGGTGGAGTAGGCGTGGAGGTTGAGCCGGTGGACAAACGAGGTAGGGCAGCTGTGTAGAGTGTTGATGCGAAGACAGGCAAACATGAGATTTTGTGGCGTGGCGGGCGTTGATTTGAGGTACGTGGAATTGACGCACGATAATACGTCGCTGATGGGTTGTTCTTAGTCGCGGCCGAAAACACCAGGTGGTGGTGGTTGCTAAAAATCAATCCGCACTGTTTACTGGCGACAGCGGATTTAGTGGGTCTTATCAACACAGTTCATACACATCTACACAGTATGGACTCTTTCCCATAGTCGGGCTTCTGCCACTATTGAGGCTTTCAATGTGTGCTGCTGTTTTCGTGACATTTAGATAAGAGTACCATTCTGTATTGATATTTGCAGTTCTGAATCAGGTAAACAAAATCCGTTGTGCGTAACGATGCTGGCAAAATTATAAAAATAAAAGTAAAAGAAACCCGCGGAAGAGATCTCGCAACAAGAAAAATGCTCGCTGCTTGTCATCTTCCTCCCGATATAAACTCCATGTTGCCCTTGCAATACACCGTCCTCAGTGCTGGGGCGGTATGTAGCTATGCAATGCCTCCCAAGGTGGATGTCGACGCTTTCTGGCCGAGCCCCCTTGCGAACCCTTCGCTGACAGTGCAGAAAGAAAAAGAAAACAAGAATAAAAACATAAAGCAAAAGCCATCGCCGGAAACCCTAAACCATAACAAGGAGACACAGTCCCTAAACAATTTCCCATCGCATCTCATAATCCAAGTGTCGTTGAACTAAACAATCATGAGAGAAATATAGCTTCTCGGTGCACTATACACCGTGATAAAAATACGCCATAAAAAAGTAAAACAACACGCATAAAGCACATCAGACGTCGGCATGGCAATGCTCACCGTGCTGCCTATCTAGCTGCGTGGGCTCACCGACGTCGCCGCAGCCTCGCTCTCGACATGCGAAGAAACGGACTCCCAGAAGGCGCCGTGAGTCTCACGGTCAACAGTGCTGACGCGCGTCATTTCCTCCATCATCTCGCGTACGCGGTCGACAAACTCGGCTAGGCCGAGGCCGGTCAGCCGGTCACCTGCGGCGCTAGTCTGGCGCGTACGCTCGGCCGAAGAGATGGCGGCAAGGCGGGCAACGAGGTAGCCGCGCAGGCGGTGCAACAGCAGACGGAGCACGGGTTCCTGGGGTATCGCATCGCCGCCGCCAGCCTCGGGGCTGTTGCGTGCCACAGCTGCTTCGGCACTGGCTGCCATGGTGCGCTCGACAATCGTGCGCAGCTGTGCCTTTGTAGAAGCAGGCATAGACCGGCCGGACTCGAGGGCCGCCATCACGCCGTCGATCACGGTCGTGGAGTTGAGTGTATTGAGCGTCTTCTGCTCCTTTTGGTCCTTCGGGCCTTGCTGTTCCTGGGCAGCGTCATTCTCAGCCTTCTCCAGGACAGCCATGACGCGGAACGCCTCCGTCTTCCAGGGTAGGCGCACGTCGCGCTTGAGCAGGTTCTTGCACTGTAGGAGCACTGCACCCGCGGTCACAATGCGCCGAGTCATGGCACCCCATTTCTGTGCACGCTCATGGTCGAGGCGCAGCATCTCGGGCATCTCACGTAGCGGGATGGGGCTGAGTTGCGTGAACACGTCCACCAGCATTTGTGCGTAGAACTGGTCTGGTTTCGGCCGGGACCGCGGATGGTTAATGCCCTCCGGGTCACGCTTGGCGACTTCGGCGACCACTTTGTTGCGCGCCACCATCCATGCAGCCGCCGAGGCTGGCAGCTTGTCCCCGACCGAGATGGTGGCCGCAATCCCGGAGATATTAGTAACGTCGACATTGTTATTCCCACTGACAAGAGAGGCGAAGCGGCGTTGCTCGTACTGCGTACTAGACGCAATTAGCTCAGGTGCTGCCATTTTGATCATAAAGTTGATGTGATCGGTCAACATCAGGTCAATGAAAGCCATGAGGGCCACGAGACGGTCGACGTAGTCGCCCTCCTGGAGCTTGTTGTCAATCAGGTCCTTCACCTCTGGATCGCGGAAAGGGGCACAGAGCTGAGGAAGCAGTCCGCCAACTGCAGAAAAGAACTTCTCGTACGAGAAGCTCCCCTTTGCAAACTGCCGCTGGGCCACCTCGGTATCCAGCAGCTCACCAATGAACTGGTGCATCTTTTTGCCGGGAATGGTCAAGCGCTCCAGTTTCGACCGGATGCAGTCGGCCATTGTGAGCAGGTAGTAGAAGTGTTCTTCCTTCATTTGACCGTCGTCGGCCGACATGGTCTTGCGCATGCGCTGGACGATTGGCGCCATCCAAGCTTCCTGCTTCTTCTGGAACTGCGTCGCCGAAATTACATATTCACGGTTGAGTGTGAGCTCGTGGACCACGATCCGGTTCTCGGGAAGCGGGCTGCTCGAATATACTTCGTCCGCAGGCTCAAGGTGGAGGTCACGTAGCGTTGCTCCTGTTCTGGCCTCAGCTGATGGCTTCGTTTGGGGTAAAAGACCGGCTATTGTAGCGTCATTCACGGCGCCTGAAGCAGTGCCCCGACCCAGAGGGCCCACATTGTGCGAGAGCTGAGTGCCTGTGGCAGATGTGGCCGTTCCAGTGGCCGCAGTGCTATTGCCGTCGCTCGTGAGACCACCCATGGCCGTTTCGATCGAGGTGTCATGTGCTTCACGCGGCCGCATATAGTTGTTTGCAGAGGCAGCCGCAGCCTTTCGGTTGGCTTCCTCCTTGGCTTTGCGAGCCTTGTGTACGGCAGCAAATACCTTCTTCTTCCCCTCTTCAGCGCCAGCCAATTTCTTGATGCGTACTAGGAGCAAGACCTGGTTTTGTTGGATGCTCTGGCGGTAGGTGTCGGACACGGACGCATCGGTGCCATCTTTGACTGTCTGCCAGATGGCGTCCAGCTCCACAAACTGCATAACCATGACATCGACCAGGGCCGATGCATCGCGCGCCTTCCAGGCAATGAAAGCATCGTAGAAGCTGTCGTAGGAATCAATCAACTCACTTGCGAGAGTGGATGGGGGCGTGTAGTTATTGGCAGGTGTAAGGCGGTTCACAATGGTTTCGAAGCAAACTAGCAAATCCTTTGCTTTTCTAACAACGTCTTGTAGCTGCGGATTTGTGACGTCAGGCTCTGACGGAGAAGCTCCATTGGCGATGGCGTTGGAGTTGGTGCCTGTGCTCGTAGTCGACGAGGAAGTATTTCCGCGTGCAGCGGCACTGTTCAGGGCATAATTTATACTTTGACCACTCGTCACGGCATCTTGGCTTTCCTTGCTGCTGAGAACTTGTGTTGGATGGCCAAGAATCAGGAACGCGCTGAGAAATGCACGGACAACGACAATTTCCTTGACTGAACTTGTCTTGCCTTCTTGGATGCCACACAGGCGTAAGATTTTGCCAGTCGTCATAAGCACCTTGTCCTGAGCCAAGAGCTGGACAACTTCATCAAAGGAGGTGTTGCGTACGCTGTCGACAGCTAGCCCCAGCTGCTGGAACTCAGCAATGGCACGTCTGCGGTGGCTCCGCCGCCACCAATGCAGGATTTTGTAGGCTGCTTCGTCTGGGGTAAGGGCGGGGGCGGGCGTGTCGCGGGAGGGGCTGCTATTGCTTTCGCCAGATGCGGGTGACGCCGTCTCTTTAAGTTCGGCCACCTGGGGCATGACTTCGACCGTCTTCCGGGTGCTGGGGATGCTCTGGCCACGAGCGCGTGTGCGGCCTGCGGCGTTGTTACGACGCAGCTCCTCGCGGCGGCGCTCGGCCTCATCCAAGCGGTCCTTGATCTGCTGCCGCAAACGAAGCAGGTCTTGTTCTCGCTTCTCCTTCATAGTCTCGGCAACGGCCTTGGCACGCTTGACCTCTTCAGCACATGCCGCGGCAATCTCCTCGAGTTTCTTCTCGCGCGCCTGGGCTGCCGCCTGGGCGCGTTCTTCGCTGACAGAGATGTCTCGGACAGCAGCCTTTGCCATGGCTGCCCGCAAACGAACCTGTTCGGCATGGGCAGCGCGATCGGCAAGGCGGGCCTTGCGGTCGGCGAGAATCGACGCCCGCCGCAGATGTTGTGCAACATGCTTGCTCTGGGGTGCACCGCTTGTGGGTGAAGAAGATGTGGGGTAGCCGAAGCCATGTGAGGATCGCGAATGGTTGGATGAAATCGAGTTTCGACGTGAGGATGCGGCTGAGCTTTTACGGCGCGCCTGGGCCGAAGGTCGGTAGAAACGCGCTGCAATATGCGGCGGTGGTGTGTATATGCGCGCGGGGGGAGTATCTGGAGGAGAGGAGCTGTCGGCCATGTGATCCTCGTCGATCTCGGTCTCGTTCATGGCGAGCGGCACAAGGTCGTTGTTGGTCGGTCCGGAAACGTTGGCCGAGTCGTCCATCGTGTCTGAGAGGGTGTTCACTTGTGGATGAAGCGAGAGAGGTGCTTGGGGTTCTTGTTGCTTGCCCATAGCAAGGACAGTTTGGCCAAGTGGTTGTGTACTCATGCAAGGTGCGCCGCGTTTGTGTTTGTTGCGTCTGAGGTGTGTCGATACGATACAGGTGACACGAATGGATCAGGTGGGACGTGCGAGAGGGGGCTTGTCGTGATCGCGTAAGCTGGCAACGATAACGGTCTAGGGCCGAGGTCTATGTTCTACTAGATAGAAAGGAAACCGGCAGAATCGTTAAAACAGAGAATGTATTCGAAAGCCGCTGCTTTTGTTGACGAGGCAAAAACTTGTGACAAGGTGCCCATCAACCCGAAAGACGATAAGATAACAAAAACGGTGATCGCTGAAAAAGCAAGGCTGATCGTTACTGTTGTTGGCGTGGTAAGCGTAGGCTTCGGGAAGGTGACGTCGGGACGGTAGAGATGTCGAGGGGGACGTGGTAGTCGATATGAAAAGTATAAAAGGTTGTAAAGAAGGAAAGAAAGAAAAGAACGAGTAAAATGGTAGCGTGCACACGGAAGCCACGCGAATGACGGGGAAGGAACCGGCGAGAATGCCAAAGAATCAACAAAGGCTGAGTCAAGCTGAGAAAAAGCCCAGACCAAGTACTCCAGCTCTAGAACGCACACCGAGCAAAGGACGCCCAGGGTAATACTCCGTGCTCAAACAGATGCAAAACAAGTGCGGAGAGTGGCGATGCCAGACCTGGTAGGGGGGATGGAATGGGAGTCAGAGAGACACGAGGTGGAAAATGAGGGTATTGATAAGACACGAGAAGGCCGAAGATCTTTGTTGTTGGCCTGAGATGTGGGAGGGGAGGGAGGGAATAGGAAGAAGATGAGAAAGAAGACGAGAAAGAAAAGAGAAGGAAAGAAAACAAAGCGATCGGATAACACACTCGAATGGGCCAGGGAAACAACAGGATGGGTGCGGCAAGGCGCGATGACGAGAATGACGGCCGTATGGCGCGGCTCGCCCAGTGGTTTCGATGTCATCAAAGCCTGCAGGCTGGCCAGAGGAATCGAAGATTGACAAAAGGAAAAAGAAAAGACGAGCGGGGAGAAGAAAATGGCGGCAGAATGACAACAGCGGCGGGCAGTGCTACAGTGAGAAGTGGCAGGAGCGGAGAAGGGCGGTCGAGGGAAAGCCCGCCAGAAGGGGAAAGAAGGCTGGGGAAGTGCGGGCAAATGGTTGTCATTGGCTGGATGCTGGATTTGGGGGCAAGTGGGCCTCCACCTTCCACTGTTTTGCATTTGTGAGCAACTGCCTCAGCACTGCCAAAAGTAAACAAGGGGGTATTAATTGCATTTAGTTTTAGGCAGAAAATAAATTCAAAACTGGACCACCAGCGTGTCTTGCTTACGAAAACGGGGGATTGGAATAACGGGTCAAATGGAAACCACAGCGGATTGTTTCAACTGAAGCTCCGCTGGCGCCGATGACTTGAGTGAGCTCGAGTCTTCGTTTGGCTGCCCCAGCTGATAACACCCGCAGAAGCATGCAGACGCTGCATATTGTCTAGAGCATACAACACACATATCACTGTTGATGTCCTCGCTGGCCGCGATTCGACCGGACATTGCTATATGGTTGGTGCTGCTCTAGTGGCAGGGAAGCGACATAAGGAAGACGAAGATGTCCGTAACTTGTTTGACCCACGCAGTACTTACGTTGGCAAACATCATTAAGAAAAGTTTTGATTTGTGAGATTTGACGACAATAATGAATGCTAATGATGTGCAGCTGTAGGGGTCTACGACAGAAGGATAGGCAGGACTTTCACAATTACTCGTTCAAAACAAACCAAAGCCAAACCTTCACGTACTCCAACCTCCAAAGAAACGCCCGCTCCCAATTGTCGTTACATATCGTTGAATGAAAATGGCAGTGACAGCAACATAAAGGAAATAATGCAAAGGAAGGCACAAACACTGGCTACGCCCCGCCGGACATGTCCGTGTAGCAGGACACTTGCTGCGCGCTCGCGTGGCTGGACTCGCTGCCTGGGGGCACGGCCGGCAGATCCGCGCAGACAAGCACCAACCGAATCGGCACACAGTTGTCAGGCACAACCGGCGCCTCACCCAGTGACGAGGTATCGCTGTCGTACAGGTACTCCAGCGTAAGGCCAGTCTCCAGGCTGTAGTAGGGAATGGTGCGATTGCAGGCCATGAACGTGCCGCTGCCCTGCATGTTGAGGAGATACAGAGCACCGTATGGCGTACCCGTGTCTGCAAGTGCCACGGGTGTAGCGTCGCCGCTGCCGGCGAAGAACGAGACACCGTGCTCGTGGGGGTACTCGGGCACGATAAAGTCGGAGGGTGATTGCACGGTGAGACCAAAGGAGACAGGCGGGTTTGCGGTGCTGTTGGCTGGCGTCTCGGCAGAGAAAGAGTCGGTCAAGAGAATCGAGGACGAACTCTGGGCCGGACGGTCATAGTAAAAGACTCGGCCGGGGTTCTGGGCGTCTGGCTTGTGAAGCATTGGGACGCGGTAGTTGGACCCGGCGTGGTAGGCTTGCAGGGCCATGTTCTGGACATCCTGTGCAAGTGCATTGAAGGGATCGGTGACGTCGGCAACCAGACGAACGCCAGTAGACGTGGATGTTGACACTGGTGCGTCTGCTGCGTTGAAAGCCCTCGTGGTGGATGTGGGCGTGAAAACAATCGGCGATGCCGAGACCGGATATGAGGCAGCAATGGCCAAAAGGAGACTGACGTCGGTGAGCATGATGGGCAGACGCAGCGCGGTTGAAGAGATGGATGCTGATAACTCGCGTAGATTCTGAGTTGATATTGCCCGAAAACGGGTAGGTCACTTATATTTGTAGAATGGCGAGGTTGGTGATGTAATGTAAGCAATGTCTCGAACTGTGACGTCACCGGTCGTATGCGGTGGTGAATTCAGAAGAGGGACAGAGAACGAGATGTTATAAAATGCCGAGATACTCCATGAATTTAACGAATTGCGAAGATGGTATGGGAAAAAAACTTATGAAAAGAGAGAGCTACCGAGGTGAGAAGACGCATAGTTTCCTTTAAAAGGCCTTAGACTTCATGGTGACCGTGATTATGGATAGTGTCCGGAGTAAACACAACGACTTGCACAGGTCAGCTGTAGACTTGACGGGAATTTTGCCGTTTGGTGGTACAGCCAAGTCGCTTGGGTCCGGTGTTCGCTTCGAGGGAATCAAGATGCTGTGTAGCCTTCTATGGCCTCAACTCCTCCTAACTTGCGGCTGCTCTTGCCATATTTGGCCTTGGCCCTCGCGCCCCTACTGTCCAGTGCACAAGTAAACATGGCTTATTTCTTGCTCGCCTACGATTTTCTAAGAAAAAAAGGAGTGGTCGGTTGTTTCACGTATCTGCTTGGATTTAGTAAGAACCAAGACGCAAAACCGCCGAACACACATTCTGGCCGTCTAACATGGCAGAAATGGTTCATTGTGTCTGCAGCAAGGTTGATAAATTGGACATCAGTTCTCGTGGTGGATGCTCATTGTTCAAACAGCATTTTGACGCTTCTGTATGCGTCCGTTTCGTTGAGAACTCTAGTAGTCTCAAAGCTTACTTTCGGACGGAACCACCCGCATCAACATTACAACCCTTTGTTTTGCAAAAAAGCCTATCTATGATTGCAACCCACACAATTAATTTCACATAGGACTCGAATTCAGCTTCAAGATGCAAATCATCGCAGACGAAGCTACCTCGAAAGCCATTCGTCTCATCCTTCCCTCCCTCGCCTGACACCACGAGGTGGCATTTTCTTCTTCGTATTCGCTCGGTCATAGGAAAGCCACTCGGAAAGGTCAAGCCCGCATATATCCTTCACTTTTCTTTCTCCTTGTCCTTTTACTTTTACTTTTCTTGTTTGTTTTTCTTTGAACACGGGAGCAGCTGCTGTTAACAGCCCCTTTCGTCGAGCCTCGCCTACGAATCTGTACAACCTCGTTTCTTCAAAGTCGAATACAGCATTCACATGGCAGTGCGCAATAAAAGCTGCAGGGCGTACGCCACTGTGTCACTCATGAAGCTCAAAAAGCGAAGTTGTACATGTTTTCGTCAATGGGCTTGTCGTGCAGGATTGACAGCGATAATGCAGGTTCCTTGGGCGCAGAGACGATGGAGAGCTACATAAGCGAGACATCAAGGATAGATGCAGCAACAAACCATGCAGAGCAACGCGTACTCGGTTCTCATCACTATTTTCATATTTCGTACGTAGTACACCGCCCATCCTCTTTCCATGTGGCCAGCAGCAGTAACCCCATGGCAGAGCCTGATGAGGGTTTCTTGGTCCTGCACCTAGAGAATTAAATAATCAAAAATAAGTATTGAAAACCTCGTCACACAGAGCCAGGAAGAGGTTATGTTGCCGGTTCTGCTCGGCATACGGTATCTCGCTTTCCTCACCACGGTCAATCTTGAAACCACGTACACCCATCTCGGACACAAATCTGATCAATTTGGTTTGATATTATTCGTATGCCGCCGGAATCGAGACATTCAGAGCCGGGCCCAAAAAACTGCACAGGGTCGGTATCCTGGAAGATCCAGTGGTTTTCGGACGAGACGCTGAAAAGTCGGGAGTAGAGGACAGTGCTCGCCGTCAAATGGGACCATAGTGATTGTTGGTGATGGAATAGTTTCACGGATATTCCTAGACGCCATAGAAATGAGATGTACCAGCGCGTGAACATGGCATGCCATTTGGTACCGCTGTAGACAAACGCCCACGTCCGTGGTCATTTCATAGGGGTTGCTAGTATCCCATTGAACATGATCGCCATCCGTGTTGACCAGACTACCCTTCTTCTAGGACTCGACTCGTACCAGGCCGTTGGATCCGGCATCGTAACAGCTTTTGATTTTGAGGCTTGACCATGGCCTCGCGATCTTCGCCCGGCCTTCCATCGAAGAAGGAGACAGACAGGGGACAATCGCCCCTCGTGACAGCTCCGAGAAACAACGGTACGAACGGTGTCAATTTGGCCGCTGACGCCGCGGTAACAAAAGAAGGAGAAGCGGCCACCAGACCATACCAGTAGCACAATGCTTTCAACAATGCCTTCTTCCAGTTTCTAGTCATTGTTTGCGAGTAGTGAGTCGTTCAGGCAATACGCACCCCTCACGGCTTGATTTTGAGACCTCAATTGCTTGATCTGGTCAATATGGTTACCGTGCAGCTGGTCTCATCTGCTGCCTTGATGAAATGGATATTTGCTGGTTTTTGTCTCCCATGTTTCCGCTCTTGTACTCTGCTCCCGCGGCCTTAATCTCGAGACATAATTTTCCCACGCTGGCGGGATATTGTAAACTGGGTAGTAATATTTGAGCCGGGAGGAATTTAACTTATTTCCCAAATTGACACAAAATAGGGTCGTCACCGTCTTTGGCCTTATTCCTTACCTCTGATGATAAAAGCAAAGGCGCAAAGTCAACTTGAACGGGAACAATATACTTCCGTAGTTAATCAACGAGATTAGCAATTCGTGAAGTCTCTCTGACCTGTTGTTGTCTTTTCGTGTTGTTTCGTGTTGTTTTGTGTTGTTTTGTGTTTCATGCACAATCAATATTACCTCAAAGGTCCGGGTAAATCGACATACAGCTAAAGCCGTACGTTGTGGCTCTTTCATTGCGTGTTTTTATGATTCGGGTCCGCGCATCACAACAACTTCTCTCAGCTACCTTGAAGTACATAATACAGAACAGCAGCAAGCTGGCATTTGCCATAATGCCGCATTGCACTGGATTGAACAACATGTCTAAGCAATCGCCCGGCATCTATGGCCGGATTTTGATGGACAGCCGAATTGCCGATGTGTAACGAAACGGCAGGGAGCGGGAGAAAGCACTACAGCTTCGGTACGATGACAGCAGAGTCGTCACCATAGATGGATGTGGAAGGAAAAAGGGGGCAGAAGATGATCAGGGTTCTCTGTACTCCGTATCTGATGATCCCATCCATTTCAACAACGGTGGGCTGTCCGTCGAATGCGGCCCTTTTCTGCATGAGAAAGCAAATGTTCGGATGCCGCAGATCCCAGTCAATCACAGTGGCTGCAGCATTTATACCAAAACTGGCGAACCCTGGTTGTTGGTCAAAGAGTGACTTTATCCTCCATACACGGCACAGAATTGTAACCCGAAAACCCGTGTTCCGTCTTGAGTATGACATGCTTTAAGATCAAATAGAAGGCGATCGTAGCTTCGGGGCCTATTCTGCTCTGGACCCTTTGTGAGAAGGTTCTTGAAAGAGGTCTGGGCATCCATCTATCTGGTCAATGCCTTCGCCAATGGTTGCTAGAAATGGTAAAACTTTCGCAAGTGAAATGAAATCTCGTACGAGCTGCTCATTTGATACAACCACCTTCGTGAGCGATAAAACCTTCGTAGCCAAGCAACTGTAGTTTGCAGCGTGTCTGTTCGCAGAGAGCCATATTTTTAGGCTGCGAAGGAGTAATACCGAGCGCGGGATGGCGTTTGTACGGATTGTGTATACAGTCGTTAGAAAACATTTGAGCCCTGATACAGAAAGTCATGTCCGTCGTTGTCTCGTCTCGACCTCATGATCGGTACCTACGTTTCTAATTGGCCAAGACCAATCACCGATGCCTGCCCAGGGTCGCAAGTACTCGTCAGATACCACGGCTCCCGCAGATGCGGCGAGTCCCAGAACCAAAGTTCCGAATTCGCAAGGTCGTATTTTCATCCTGCGAAAGTACCTGTGCCGTTCCGTGCGTGATCTGCACAGAGAATGGCACACAAAACAGCCATTCGTAGTGTTGCCTTGTAGTTGCACAATGCCCTGAAACTGTGACGCCCATTTCCTCTCAAGTCGTGGGGGCGAGAGTGTGGGGGCCGAGCCTTGTGTTGTTGGTTGATGGGCCCAGACTGCCATGTCAACAAAGCGCTAGACATTATGCAGTTCGATATTCTGTCCGTGTGACCCAAGAATCCCCGGCGCCCGGCTCGAGCTTTGAAAGACACGAACTAGCAGCCGCGTTGAATGCGCAACCATGTAGAGTGAGAGAAGGGCGGTAGAAGGCAAAAAGAAGGTTAGGTCCATGTTTGAGAACCTGGTCTTTCAGACCTCGCGACCGGCCCACACTGCCGCCGAAGTCGTGGCCGGCGTGACAATTGGAATCGAGTGGCTCGATGTACATTTTGGTAGGCCCAGCTACTATTGAATTACAGTGTGCCTCTGCATGGGACGCTCAAAGCAGGCCCCTGACATGCTTCGACGTAAACGGGATGGGGGGTGAGGCACGACTGAAGAGGAAACTGAAGAGGAGAGTAAGCCATCGGATAGCATTGCTCGAGCCAACAGTTGCACAACAGAGTACACAAAAGCCGAGTGGTCATGCCGAGTTTTTGTGAGCAAAGCTGGGTTGGGGAGGGGGAGGGAGGTGGAGTTGGTGAGTGAATGAGGCATGGAATGAAAAGAAGGGGGTGGTGAGGATCAGTGCTGAGATATCCCTGGGCGGCGACCCTCCTTCCTTCCTCTACAGATCATGGGCATTGCTCGTGACTATTTAATTTATGGTGCGAAGTAGTAGACGCGGAAGACCATGTGTACGCCGTAGGAAGTCGCATCCCCCCAACCGCGCTTGCCGTACAAAGAATAAGCATTGCATTGCTCCTTCCGCATCAATATTGCCAATGCCTGTCATCATAAGAGGGCTGGAGCCTAACAAACCCTTGTTAGGGAAGGCGCACATGGCCCTCGCATCACACATCGGAAGGAGCGCAGGGGAAGGGTAGTAACGCGGGCTCGTGGTATTCGTATGTGTACGACGTAGTTACTGTGTAGGCCCAAAAACGCGGCGCCTCTTCCCAATCGGGCATATCTAGTCGTTAGGTCTTTCCTTTTCGCCTGGCCGTACTCCGTACGACGTACAGACGCTGCTATTTCTTCTCAATGACATTGTCCCTTCAATTCTCCTTCTTTTACAATATCCAAACCTTAACAGGTTTGCACGTCTTCTCCGATAAGAACAGAGGCACCGCTTTTGCACAACTGGCGCCACACTTGTACGCAGCAATCCTTATCCACCAAAGCTACCGGCCGTCTGGGCGCGGGTCCGACAAGCTCCTCTGGTGTCCGCACCACCCCCCGTGCTGCTAATTTCTCTGGCTCGATCCGTCACCGTGGCTTTCTCCTGTTTCGATATGCTAGGGCCGAACAAGCGCCAGAACCTGACACAATCGACGAAGTTGTCTGGTAGCCGAGTTTTCACCCTCCGACATAGCGGGCAGTGCGGTGCCCGAGAACAGACGATGGTGGAGTGGCTGGCACACACAGACAGGGTCTGAACAACTATCGATCAGGAGACCCCACTCTCAAAGCAGTAATGCCTGCTCTGGCTTGCCAGCAGACTCGTCTCGTGTTTGAGGCCGCAGTAGCCAGGCCACTTGACACTAGTTCCTTCCAGTTCTGGGCATGATTGTCCTGATTTGTGAAATGTGCCTAGCGATGGCGAGAAGGCAGCATCGTCGTGGGTACGGGTACCGTCACTAATGCAAGTCAGAAGAGCCAGAACATGGCCAAACATGGGAGCTGGCCTGCTTAAGCTCTACAGAGCACGACATACTCGGGAATCTCTTTCCCAACTTGGGGTCCGCACATCAGCCGTAATGAGGTTCTGGCGATACGGAATGCTCAGCGTCAAGGCCCTGCCGCGAACACGGCATAGACGTGGTTCCTTGCGAATTGCTTTAGCTGATTTTGTGTTCTTTATCTTTTTTGGTAATCGCTTGACTTTCGTACTCCATTTTCGCTTTCCGGCTTCCCCTCTTTTACTGTTGATATTTCCCTTCACTATTTTGCCCCTTTGCGTTTTTGAGCCTACATTGTTTTGTCTTGTACATTTCTTATATTCCACTCGTTACTGGTCCTGTATCCTGCTCGCATCCCATCCGTCAAGATGCTCGTCTGATTTTCCAGCGGGCCAGCTTCTGCTGGCAGCCCGGCATGGTTTGGATGGCCCACCCCATCCAACCGGACGTTTTCTCTGGTTCTTCAACTGTCAACTGCTGTCAAGTCAACCACTGTCGGAGCACTCGGTGGCTTCCAGATCGAGCGCTGCTGCTCATAAGACGAAGAAGTCCTCTCAGACCGAAAAAGGCAAAGGTGACGAGTGCACCATACTCTTGTCCCGTCCTGTCCCAAATGGGTCAGACAGGCCGTCTCGTTCCCGCCCCTCCATCCCCTTCGAGAATGCGAGATGGAACTGTTTTTTCTACATATCCCAGCTCTTAAAAACCAGTCATCTTACTCCGATGGTGCTGGTGGTTCTTCTCTGCCGTTTCTTTCTCCACTCGTCCGTCTGAAGCTCCTTGCTTCTTAACTGTCCCGTTCGATTTATTCTCTGTCCCGTTGATATCCTTCCCTGTCCTTTCCGGCAACGTTTAATTTTTATTCAGGTTTTATCCTTTTTTGACCGCGTCTGCTTATTCGGGCCGTGATTCTTCTACCTCTTTTGACTCTTATCTTGCTATTGTCAAGGTACATTTTCCACCTCCAACATGTCCATATACTTGTTAATTCCTTATCCGCCTTCTTGTTGTCTTCGTCCATATACCAGCATCCATCCAACCTCCGTTTCAACCGAGTTTCAACCCGAATTTGATGTTGGGCTATCTCGCCGGCAGACAACATCGTGATGTTTTCTGGGCAGACTATGTCGATCTAAACTGCCGGACTCAGGTCACGTCCTGTATCGACATTGCCGTCTTCAAAACAACGGATCAGTCTTGCCCAGAAAGTCTCCAAGCACACACGGGTCCGTCTCACACTCGTTCACGAGACATCGGTTACTGCCGGTTTGGACTTTGCCTTTCTTTGGATTGTTTCCATGGTCATCACTTCCCGTGCCCAATTCTTTTATTCCGCTTTTGCAAGTTTGCCTGTTTCGGCGCACACCCTTCTCAGATCCTTAGCCTCTTCTCTGTTGTACATACTTCTTGTATAAAATCAAAGAGGCAGTGACTTTTCGTCGCTGTGAGACCGGATACAAATGGAATTCCATCAGAGCCCAACGCAACCACCAACTCGCCCACTCGTCACATCTTGTTTCTCTTTCCTTAATAGTAGGACGAGACTCCTCGACAAGACAACTCTGTTCATCCAACTCTACCACACTCACTCATTAGAGTACAGAAGACGACATCAAGAAAAGACAGTCCTGGTCGGTTCACCGGATACGTTCTCTTACAACGTATCTTTTAAACACGTCACTCACCAGCTACTACAAGCTGTAAATATGCCTAGCGCTGTTGTACTCGGCTCCTGTGACGGCACCGACCCCCCGGCCGGGCCTGACACTGTTGAAGACGTCTGCCTTGGCATGGAACTCAAGTTTCTACTGCTGGGCCTGCCCCGATCCGAAGCTGCCGGTATACCAATAGGTCACTCATCGGATACGTCTACTACCACGAGTCAGGAGGCCTACCAGAAGCAGGCATACACCGCCTTGGCTCGTGTAATCGAACGACGTGCAGGGCCAGACAAGTCGGCCCCTTGTCCCCGCGCACCCTCGGGCCAGCCTCGTGCCATCAGCAAGAGCGACATATCTGAAAGTGGTCTCAAGGAGCGAGACTACTGGCCGTCCCATTGGATTGTCAAAAAGGCCAACTCTGTCGAGCACATGAAGGAAGATCCACGGCCAGACAGCCGCCGCACGAATGGCATTGCCATTCCGGTGGAGCTCAACTCACCGAAGCTAGCTTGGAGAGATCTCTACGCGCCTTTTCTCATCAGCAAAGTCCTCTCTCAGGTCAAAACCTTGCCCACGTGCGTTAACTATACATGTGACGTCCATGTCCATGTAGGACGTTGCGACGGAACGGCATTTACACTCCCGACTCTTAAGAAATTGGCAACCATCTTTTGGCTGGCGGAGCCGATCCTGCGCAGTGTTCGAAACCCTCATTCACCAAACTACTCGCATGCCTACACTTGGGGCTTTGACCAACGCCGTTACAGTCGCCTTGCACTGGCTCTGGACAATAGATCGCCTGCGACAGACAATGTGACTATTGGTGAGGATTTGCTCGCGCGTGTGCGCTCAAGTGTTTGCAACGCAGACGACGACGAATGGCACAAGTATATGAATGAAACTGGGAAGACAGCGTTCCGCAACGAGGCCTTGCGTGCCATTTGGCAATCGGCCACCTCCCAAGAACTGGGACTCCTGCTGTCTGGCTCTCAGCGGGAGTACCGGCGTCTTGGATTCAACTTTAGTGCATTCGGCGGCGAAGACGAGCGCTCCAGGACCAACCCACGCACAATCGAGTTCCGCATCTTGGAGGGCACACTGAATGAGGAGCTCGTTCAAGGCTGGTACCAAATCTGTGGCAAGTTGGTTGAGCTGGGCACGAAGGGCAGACAAGCGAGATTCTGCGAGGTCGTCCAGTACCTAGTGGCTCAACAGCCAGCCTACGACGAGCTCCTCAAGAACACTGACTCCGGCCGTCTTCAGGCTCATGTGCGGGCGGAACGCGGTCGGGTGACTCGCGACCTCCTCTTTGCCGAGTTTATGGAGGTCATTGGCGTCGAAGCAGCGGCGTACAAGCCCTTTCAAGAAAAAATACGGCGGGAGTATGGCTCCTCCTGACTGGTTGACTACATAACAGGATTTTTCACGGCCTTGGGAAATTACCTAGACGGGCGATGGTTACGAGGGCATTGAACGGGTATGGGTTATAGGTAACAAGTCTCTCGCGGGGCACACTCTCACTTTTTTGCATGTCATTTTTTATTTATTTTTCACCCTTTTCTTCGTTACATTGTTCTTCCAGTATTGTCTTTTCTTTCTATTTTGTTTTTGTACTTGCTGCATTTTTGGAGAAGGGGGCGGGGGGTTCTGACGAGTTTTCTTTGAAACGCCAAGTGCATTATTACTTAGGCCTTGCTTTGCCGGTTTTGTCTTTTACATTTTGCGCGTTGGACCTCTTCATTATTTACTCAGTATTTTCTAGTTTTTATTTCTGACCATATTTGTTTCCAACGTCCATTTACTCACATGTGGCAAGGTTTTTTTTATCAAATATACTCCTTACAATTTGCCAAAGTATTATTTTGCATTATCATACAAAACACGTTTAGTACATCATGAAAATGGTCGCTTATATCATACCGAAGGTGTACGCGAATATATAAACC